GTCCAATCAGTAGTATATATATATATATCTGTAAATGTATATCTTTTTTTTTCTCTTTACTATAATTTCTATTCTTTTATTATTTCACTATTTTTTGTTTTTAGACTGTTGAACAACCGATCAAGAAATCAACTGATGATATTCTATCATCACCATCATTCAACACTAGTTGTACAGAGAGGATTATTGATAACAAAATCATTCCTATTGTATACAATCAAAATGCTTTAATCCCTGGCACTACTACTACTTCTACTACTGCTACTAATAATAATAATAATAATAATAATAATAATAATGACAATAATAATAATAATCTTTTCTTACATCCATATGAAACCACATCGACCATGGACAGTGTAGCATACTCCTCGAATCACTCACCGTCACTTCCACCGCCAACCGATTTAGCGCCGAAATTATCAGAATTCATGAAAAGTACCAGTACTACTACTTCTAGTAGTAATAGTAGTAGTACAGTCAATACAACAAATGATTCCAACTCACGTCAAATTTTATATTATCAAACACGTAAACAAGAATTAATTGCAATACAAACTGATTTATACGCACGAATTCGTTCAGAGAATGCAGAAATTAGCCGATTACAAGTAAAAAAAAAATTAAAATTGTTTTATTGGTTTATTGTTGAGTAGTAGTTACTCTTTATGTTAAGTTACACATTTTTTTTGAAACCATGAGTCGATCAATGTTAGACCACCATTAGAAGAAACCTGGAAGCACTCACTGGACGGCCGTTTCGTCCTAGTATGGGACTCCTCAGTGGCAGTGCGCACCCACGACTCCTGCACCCCACAGGATTCGAACCCAGGACAATCTTCACAACAACCCCGTAATGCAAATTACCTATGCTCACTAGTGACTAGCTTCGTGAGGAATCTTCTCCGAGTTCTAGTGGTGGGAACACGTGACCAGTGGAGTTCAACTGGTTCGGGTGTAGACAATAACTACCGAAGACTGTGTATGAGGTTGCGCAACTCCGTGAATTGATCAAGTTAGACATTAACACCGTTAGATAGCGGCTCAGTGGTCCGATGGTTAGGCGTTTGCGTACAATACCGAAGGTCCTGGGTTCGAGTCCTGTCGTGGATGCGCACTTTGTGTTATTGTTGGGCTTTGTGCAAAACAAAACTATTGAATATTATTTTTGTTTTCTTGTCATGAGTCAGTTAGTCAGCTAGCTACAACGTAGAACTATGCACATATGTACATAAGTTCAAGTTGTCATACTACGGTAGCAGAGATCGTCAGTTCAAAACCCATATTGGTAGAGGTAGTAGAAGTATTAGCGTTAATGGAGAAGATTAAGGTTCTAAGACGTTATTTAAGGACTATAATGTGAAGAGAGTTCTACTGTATGGAGCGGAAACATGGAGAACTACCAAAGCCATCATCCAGAAGATACAAGTGTTTATTAACAGTTGTCTACACAAAATACTTCGGATTTGTTGGCCAGACACCATCAGCAACAACCTACTGTGGGAGAGAACAAACCAGATTCTAGTGGAGGAAGAAATCAGGAAGAAGCTTTGGAAGTGGATAGGACACACACTACGAAAAGCACCTAACTGCATCACGAGACAGGCAAAAGAAAATGAGGGAGGCTAAGGAACACATTACGCCGTGAAATAGAGAAAGATATGAGAAGAATGAAAAAACATTGGACAGAACTGGAGAGGGAAGCCCATGACAGAGTTGGTTGGAGAATACCTGTCAGCAGCCTATGCTCCATTCGGGGTAACAGGAGTAAGTAAGTCAGTAAGTAATTATTATTCGTCCTATAAGTGTGCATCTACCGCTCCGTATGAGGATGGATTAAAGTTAGACATGATGAACACCATTGAATATGCTGCTGGTGTAATAGTAGTGATGGCTAAGTGTGTTTTCCACTTTAGTTTATGTTTATTTCCATTAGTCCATATTTTCTGTGTAAAATTTTAATTCTTCATTTATTTCATATTCTTACTATTTTATATTGACTTCACTGTCAATCATGTTAGTCATGTATCAATCATCTATTAGAATCTGGTGGTCGACGAGCCAATCGAATATATCGTACTTATATGACAGCGAAACATTTATGTCCTGATTGGTTATTGAATGAAAATCCGCTGATTGTTACACCACCGTCAAAGCATCAGTTCAAGAATAATGATAAGACAGATCAAAGAGATTATTATCATTATATTTCACAACCATGGACTAAAATAGCTGAAAATTTAACTACGATTATCAATGAGAATGTTGTTGATGATGAGGATGACGATGATGATGAGGATGATCATACTACTGCTACCACTGCATATAGTAGTAGTATAATGATGATGAATAATAATTTAAAAGAAAAATGTCTACTTGACGATGATGATGATGAAGAAGAAGACGAAGAAGAGGAGGAGGAGGAGTATTCCTCCAGTGATTCCGACGATCATCATCATGACGATGATGATGATGATGATGACGGTGATGGTGATGAACATGATTCGCTGAAAGAACCAATTTTAACAAATCGTGATTCTTCACCAGATTCCGTTGGTTATTTACGTTTAACAGAAGAAACAGAAGATGTTGATGTAGATAAAGATGAAGGTGAAATAGGCAACAGTTTAAATTCTAAACGAAATAAACACTTAACAGTGCCAGGACATGACGACGGAGATGACGATGATGATGATGATGACGAGGATGAGGACGAGGAAGAAGATGAATGTGAAATGGAATTGGCTAAAACATTACATCAACTTACATTGGATAATGCACGTTTAGAACAACTCAATGCACGTTCATTGGATGCAATACAAGCGGAACGAAATCGTTGTGCTGATTTAAAAGTAAGCCCTATATGTATATATATATGTTGTAACGGCTGCTTAGATATATTTTCTAGCTAAATCCTATTGCTTAGTATTCTCTGACCACAATACACTGGACAAGTTCCCAAGAATCAAAAAACACGGTTAGACAGAAAAAGATTATATTCCAAATAGCAAGGTTAAATGGAAATAAGAAGCCAAGGCTGATGGCGAAGGCGAAGGCCAAATAGATACAACGTTAGTTTATTTATAGTATTTACATGAGAAGCTTCTGGATAGAAATTCACGTGATCGACTGTATTAGATTTAGCCAATCAGCATGCAGCTAACAAAACGAGAATTTTCTACCCTGTTCTCCGAGAATAGATCAGGCGCTGATTGGATAAGAAATTAGCCAATCAGCGCGTAGCAACGTAGTCATGCTTTAATTCCATCTATGTCCCACTAACAATATATATACAGTTTTGCATAATGTTGACCATTGTTATAATGCGCTACTATTTAGAGCTATTCGAAATCTTTTCTCGGTTGACCAAATTCAGATATTCCAATACGACCCAAAATACTACTGTTCCCAAATCTTCAATATATATCAGAATACAACACTGTTAAATAAAGTTGTTTATGGGGTCGAGTACAGAAGGAGATGAAGGAATAATAAGCTTTACAAATAATGTATATCCATACAGTTAGGTTGAATAGGAAACAACATTGAAGTCTGTGTGACATAAATAGTTAGGATGACCAATGGAAAACTACACTGAAGTAAGGGACATTGATAGTTAGGACAACCATAATATTGACCAATAGGAATTGACCAATAAAATTAGACTCTTAGGATGATTTGATGAATATCCTAACAACCATCGGCTGTGTTTCATCCATGTCTTTCTCTGTGAAGCAAGCGTTTTAGGATAGCTGTCATTTTTCTAAGAAACACAAGTTCTTGATCAATGCATTTCATACTACAAATGTTGCGTTTTAAATAACATAAAAACCCAACATCGTAACTAGTCAGTTAGTCGTGTTATATTTGGTTCCTATGAGTGAACACCTTTTGAGGAACCATCACTGCCTCCACATTGACTGTCTTATTTTATTTTCTAAGTTGAAATCTAAATCGTGATGACTAGTTTCTAATAGTTGCGGTTTCATATGACTTTGAAGACTTTTGAAGACTTCCAGTCATTCAGTCAGTCAGTTGCAACGTAGAACTACGTACGTATGCACATAAGTTCATGTTGCCATACCACATTAGCACAAAGACGCAGATGTCAAATCAAATCCCATAGTGATAAAGATAGTAGAGGTATTAATGTTAATAAAGAAGACTAGGGTTCGAAGATATTATTCAAAAAATATAATTCAGTGAGATAAGGTTACAAAGACAAAGGTAGAGGTGCTGACGAATCCAGAAGATTAGGATTTGAGAGAGCTCAAGGAATGGATGCACTTGCGCTATTGCAAACGATTTTGAGCCATGTCGTTCAAGGTCTCTAACCATTGGTGACTTTCGTCTCGCGGACCCCAACCAGGTAGTCTACATCTACCAACATGACTCAGTCCACTTGTCAGTGACTTCATAGATTCAGTCCATGTTTTAGTCTGGCCGCCCGTAGCTTTCTTCCAACCTACTCCTACACCACAAAACATAGCTCGTCGAGGCAGTCGGTGGTTAGGCATTCGTAACACATGTCCCAACCACCTTAACTGATGAAGTTTCACTCTTTCATCTATTGATCTGCCATCTTTACCTAACACCCGTTTCCTAACGATAGCATTGCTTACTCGGTCGTCCCTGGATACACAAGCAATGCTTCGGAGACACCGCTGATCGAAGACTAGTAACCTACGAACATCTACTCTTAACGGCCAAGTCTCGCATCCGTACAGTAGGACAGAGAGAACAGCTGCACATTTCACTCGACCTTTCTTTTGAGCTACTAATTTTAAAGCAATTATACACAGCCGATTATAACAACAATTCTTACTGATACCAGTCAGTCAGTCAGCTATAAAATAGAAGTTCGTACGGACGTACATCAGTTCAAGTTACCATACTACATTAGCACATAGACGCAATTGTCGATTCAAATCCCATAGTGGTAGAGGTATTAATAAGTATGAACAATAATCGGAGAGATTAGGGTTCGAGGATATTGTTAAAGCGTTATAAGTCAGCAACAGCATTACTTACTTAGTGGTCTCAGGATATACTATTAATGCTTCGGAGACACCTATGATCAAATACTAATAACCTATGAATATCTTCAACTCTTACTGATCATGGTTTGATAGCCATATAGTTAGGACGGAGTGTACTGCTCTGCAGTACAAACGGATATCTCGCCTGAGCCATAAGTGACTCAAGTTGGCAAAAGCCGATCGAGCCTTCTGTATCCGTGCTGAGATTCCGTCACAAACTAGGTCATTGGCGCTAATGCGACTCCTAAGATAAGTGAAGCGGCCAACACGCTCAGTCACCTGACTCCCTATCACTTGTTCCATGTGCCGACGGCTAGAAGCATTGAACGGCTGTTTCATCGTCATACTATAGGAACTCTTCAGTACCACTGTCTATATGCATAACCCCGCCAACGGGAATCGAACCTCAGGGTGTTCGGTCGTCCAACTTGTCATGTCATACTTTTATTTCCATTATCTCACACACACTTACTTTGTGTTATTTATTCACACGCCGCAGGTTTTACTTAAACTTCGTCATAACAAACCAATCGACACTATGATGGAATCGATCAGAATAAGCGATCAGCCTAACTCTACCAATGATATAAACTGTGAACAATCCAATGCTTTGTATTCACCTTATTCCAATGTCAATGTCAGTCAATTGTCAACGTCATCAGTCACTGTATTATAAATTAATCCATGTGCTGGCTGGTGTTGTTGATGATGTTATCTGTGCTTCGCCTGTGCCTCATTGCATTCTTCACACAGTTGACTTTTCTCTCACTCTCCTCTCTTTGTTCCCCTTTTTTGAACACTTTTAAATCATGCATTTCAATGGTGTTTTTCTCTTCTTTAATTTCGTTTTGTTTTATTTTGTCTTTTTTCTTTATATTTTCAATTGAATCTTGAATTATTGATTTTTTATGAGTTTTTTGAAAAAAAATTATGAATCAAAAAAATAGAGAAAATCTGTGATTTTTTTCAATTGAGAGATTGATTCTTTCATGTTTAGCGCTAACTATTATTATTATTATTATTTGAAAGGATGATTTGTTGTCATCGAAAAATCGTGATCATGATGTGTTGTATATTTTTTGAATGATTGAATTTACAATTGAAAAGGTATAATTAATAATAATAATAATCATTATTATGATCTTTCCTTGTTGATATTCACCAAATATCCTAAGAGTACTATTTTTAGAAGTATAGTCCTATTGGTAGATTTCTATTGGTCAAAATTGTGATCGTTTTAACTGTCAACGTCAAATACTTCAATCTTGTCTCTTATTGGTCATCCGGACTGTCCATGTCATTTCAAATGTTCTTTCCTATTGGTCGTCCTAAACTGTCAATGTCACTGACCACGATGCTCTTTCCTGTTCGACCTTAATGTATAAATACGCATTATCTGTAAGCCTTCAGGATTCGGATTCCAATTCCGTTTCTCCTGCCTACCTCACTTCTGTATTCGACCCAAAAAACAACTCCATCCAACGGTGTTGCGTTCTGATATCTAGGAGATTTGGAAATAGCATTTTAGGTCGTATTGGGATATTTGAATTGGACGCCGCTAGGACTGAATAGCTATACGTAGCAGCGTTACAACAATAACTTAAATGGATAGGAAATTTGTGACTTGATTGATGCAAGTCATTTCCTCTTCATATGTGCTCCACTAGTGACTAGCTCCATGAGGAAGTTTCTCCACATTCTAGTGTGAATTTTTGACTAGTGGACTTCAACTGTGTTCGAGTGTGAAGCAGTGCTCATCACCCAAGACAGTGTGGATGAGGTTGTGCAAGTAAACCGTGGATCGATCGGAGGTAGACATTAACACCATTGGATGCCGGCTCAGTGAATGTGTACTGACTGCCGAAGTGTAATCCTGAGAAGACTGAGGCAGGCGCTGAAGATTGTATTATACGAATTTACACTCTTAGTTAATTAAAAACGACAACATTATATTGAACACTCTATTTGCACACCATCTTTGAGTCGTGACTTCCAACGCTCCATCCTTCTTACATTCCTGCTGTTGCTTGCCTTACTTCATGTTGGTACTCTATTTACTCCTTGTTTTTACTCCATTTGCTTTCCGTTTTCCTCTTCTGACCGTGAGACTTCTTCTTTCACGTCCCTTCTTATACTACTTATATCGTTCGTATAAGTAGCACGCCACAGTCCCATTACTAGGACGAAACGGCCGTCTTTCAGTGCTTCTAGGTTTCTAATGGTGATCTAGCATTAATCGATTCCTGATTGTTAATAAATTAACTTCCTATTCTACTTTATTCGCTCTGAACAAGTAAGTAACTTACATCAATTCACAAAGTTCTACTCATTTGGAACCAAAGAATCATAATTGTTTTATGATTAGTAACTTTATACCCCAATGCTCAGCTCAAGTCTGACCTTAGTATTAATACCTACAATATAATTAATATTATTACTTACCGAATTAACCACTGTTAGAAATCTGGAAGCACTGGAGGGTCACTTCATCTTAGTAGTATGGGACTCATCAATAATGGTTTGCACCTACGAATCTACACGTGAACATTGAATCTAGGAGCTTCGATCTCGAAAACAGATGATGGTTGTACAATATTGTGGATCAGTTGATGTTAGATATCAACACTGTTGGATATCATCAAGTCAGTGATCAAGAGGTTGGGGGGTTCGTGCGTGAGACCGAATGTCCTTAATTCAATTCCCGCTTCCAGTGTAGTAGATGTACACTTCTGATGAGGCCTATACTAGGACCGAACGGCCATCTATTGCTCCAAGGTCATATTTTGATTCTACAATCATTTAAAGGACTAATATATTACCATGACATCACAAGATATTCAGGCTACAACATTACAATCTAGTCGCTGAAGTTTAAACAACACTCAAGATTACATAACCTAATACTTATCATGTACAGCAATCCATTTAATACATAAGACTTAAAATGTCTGCAAAGCAATGCAAAATAGATTTATTTACATGACGAATGATCATTACCAGCCTTATTCTTCAAATATCAACTCGTAAAATTGTTCTGTAACAATATATGACGCTTCCCTTACTTGATTGTTAAACAGAACGGGATTATTGGTGATTCAGATTATTGTAAGTGTTTAAGCTAGGCTTCACAATACGAGTTTCTCATCAACGAAGACGTTGTCCATAAACATATACATGTAAGAAAGTATTTCCATTTCCCGATGTTTTTACAATAATTCTCAGTCAGTCAGTTACAACGTAGGATTTCGTACGTACGTACATCAATTCAGTTTGCCATACCACGGTAGCACAGAGATACAACTGTCAATTCAAATCCCATAGTAGTATAAGTATCAGCAGTAATCGGAGAAAATAGGAACGTTCGAAGATGTTATTCAAGAAGTATATAATCCAGTGAAATAGATTTGAGAAGAGAAAGATATAGGTGATGGGGAATTCAGATAACAATTTGAGAGAACTCAAAGAATGGATGCAAACAATTTTGAGCCATGTCATTCAAGGTCTCTAAACATCAGTTACTAGCATCTCGTGGACCCCAACCCGGTGGTCTACACTTACCAACATGGCTCAGTTCACCTGTCAGTGGATTTGTGCCATGTTTCAGTCTGGCCGCCCCTAGCTCTCTTCCAACCTATTCCTACACCAAAAAACATCGCTCGTCTAGGCAGTAGTCAGTGGTTGGGCATACGTGACACGTGTGCCATCCTCAAAGAAACAACTATTGATCAACATAGTAATATCAATTACAGAGTAATTTGTTTTACTTTCTACTGAAAGAATAATTGATCATTGAAATCTTCTAATTATAAACTTAACAACAATCCTTGTGCAAAAACGAGAAAACTGTTAGGATATTCATCCAATATCCTAAGAGAATTATTGGTCAAGTCCTATTGGTTAATTGCTACTGGTCAATTTTATGGTCGTACTAGTAGATATCAATGTCACGTGCTACAATGTTGTTTCTTATTGGTTGTACTGACTATCAATGTCACTTCAAATGTTGCTTCCTATTGGTTGTCTTAGCTGTCAATGTCACAAACTTCGATGCTGTTTCCTATTCGACTTAAATGTATAAATACGCATTATCTGTAACATTTCATGACCAGGACCAGGGCTCGGTCCTGGATCCCTAGTCCGGGATTCTGATTCTCTACTGGATTCGGACCTCACACTTTCTGGATGCTTGTAGAATACAGGTTCTACCTCATATCAAGTCTTCTCTTCTTTTACTCAATATGTAGGTTGGGATAATCGGATTTGAGTAGCATGTCGTGTCGCCGGATCCTCGATCCTCGCTCTCGTTTTCCGACTAAGGTAGTAAACTCGTAAAATAGTTCAAACATCTCAAAATGACGTGTTTACGTGCAGGCGTAACAAAAACAGACAAACACTGAACAAATATAGAGAATATTAATTAATAAGACAAATTCTACTAACAATTCGAATTTTTTATTCTCATGAAATAGCCAACTTAATGAATTTTAAATTTTTAAAAAAACAAAACACATCACACATCTTGTATTGACTATATAATACATTGGAATAGAGCACATGTTTTTTCTGTCAATGTCCAATTCCATTGAATAGTAGTTCAATATTCATAATCGCGGTACCGAAAAAAAAAGATCAAGGTCATGTCTAGTTTAAAATAAGAGGGAGACAGAGAGACAGAGTGGAAAGTCAACTTTTCAAATAGATCACTAGAAATAGAAGGACGAGTTCAGTAAAGGGAAGAGTGTTTAGCAGCACCAAGAAAATCAATATGAAAGTTTTATGCACAGAAATAAAATAGAGTTGAATGTAGCTTGCTTGTGGTATTGTTTTTTGAAATAAGCGTACAATATACAATAATCTTTCTATTTGGTATTTTCAATAGTTGTATTATCAAATATTCGATCAACATATTCATGATAAAGTTTAATTTTGCCATACATTTCATCTAATGTTTGACGTACTTCTGGACGAACAGGTACAGTAACTTTTGGTGAATAAATAGATTCTGTATTTAAGACGGGAATTTTATATGTATTTTCAAGTGATTGACGTAAATTGTCAATTTCATTTACTTCACAATGAAACTGAAAAAAGGAAAAATATGATTTGTAAAATAGACAAAGAAAGAAACAGGGAGAAATAAATAATTTTTGAAAAAAAAAGGTGTGATAATTTACTCCGTTCCCGCTTTGTACAAAAAGAATTTGACTCGTACAAGTTGGTATAATTAAAAAAAAGGGATTCACTAGAATGCGGATAAACATAAATCAATTTTAGAGTATGTTCGGGATGCGCCTTTCCCCCTCGAAATGCTAGATGTTGCTTCAAGATTGGGTTCCATCGGCACCTGAACTAGTGATAGGGAGTGAAGTAGTCGAGCGTGTTGATCACTTCAATTTTCTGGGGAGTCTCATCAGTGCCGATGGCCTGGTTGGTATTTGATGAAATCTCAGCACGGACACAAACGGCTCGAATGGCTTTTGCGTCACTTATGGCGTTGGCAAGATATCCGTTTGCTGATTAAAGGACGAGTGTACTGTGCAGTAGTTCGCTCCGTCTTACTTTATGGCTGTGAAACATGGCCAGTGAGAGTAGAAGATATTCGTCGGTTATTGGTTTTCGATCATAGGTGTCTTCGAAGCATTGCTCGTATATCGTGGGACAACCGAGTGAGCAACGCTGTTATTAGGAATCGGGTGTTAGGTAGAATGGCAGATCAATAGATGAAGTAGTGACACTTCATCAGTTGAGGTGGCTGGGACATGTGTTGCGTATGCTCAACCACCGACTGCTTCGAAGAGCTTTGTTTTGTAGTGTAGGAATAGGTTGGAAGAAAGTTAGGGGCGGCCAAACCAAAACATGGCAGAAATCCATGAAGTCATTGACGAGTAGACTGAGTCATGTCGGTAATTGTGGACTACCTGGTTGGAGTCCGCGAGATGATAATAATCGATGGTTAGAGACCTTGAATGACATGGCTCAAAACCGTTCGCAATGGCGCCGGTGCATTTTTTTCTTTATGTTCTCTCAAATGCTAATCTTCTGGGTTCTTCAACAACTCTAGTTTTGACTTTCTAAACTTATCTCACTGAATCATACTTCTTGAATAATATCTTCTAATCCTAACCTCTCCGATTACTTCTAATACCTTAACTACCTCTTCTACTATTGGATTTGAATTGACAATTACATCTCTATGCTGATGTGGTATGGCGACATGAACTGATGTACTTACTTACGAAGTTCTACGTTGTATCTGACTGACTGACTGACTGTTCCCTTTTCGTACTGAAAGAATTTGACTCGTACAAGTTGGTATAATTAAAAAAAAGAATGTATTCACCAGAATGCAGATAACCATAAGTCAATTTTAGAGTATTTTTAATTAAAGCAAAGTTAGATAAAATTCACATCAATGATGATACAAATTACTATCATTGTGAATAACAAAACGAAAATTTGTATTTGTCTCGGGAACCCCCTAACCGCGGTAGAATAAATATCAAGTTTTTAGTTGAAAGTATGAACAGTGTAAAAGGAGTAATGGTTCAGTATATGCAATGAGTCACTCATTTAATCAGTCAGTAACCATGTAGAACTTCGCAAGTACGTACATCAGTTCAAGCTGCCATACCACATTTGTACAGAGATACAATCACCTACTTAAATCCCGTAGTGGTAGAAGTAATAGAAGGATTAGCAGTAGTCAGAAAGATTAGGGATCGAAGATATTATTCAAGGAGTATAATCTAGTAACATAAACTTAAAAAAAGAAAGATAAAGGTGATGAAGAATTCAGAAGATCAAGATTTGAGAGAACACAAAGAATAGACGAACCTGCGTCATTGCAAACGATTCTGAGCCATGTCATTTAAGGTCTCTAACCATCGATTACTATTGTCTCACGGACTTCAACCTGGTATTCTATGTTTACTCACGTAGCTTAGTCTAGTTGTCAGTGATTTCATGGATTTGTGCCATGTTTTGGTTTGGCCGGCCTTAGCTTTCTTCCAACCTACTCCTACATGAGAGAATATCACTCGTCGAGGCAGTCAGTGGTTAGGCATTCGTAACACACGTCCCAACCACATCAACTAATGAAGATTCACTATTCTACCAATGTTATTTTCCATCTCTACTTAGTGCTCATTTCCTAACGACAGTATTGCTTACTCGGTTATCCCAGGGGATACACGAAGACACCTATGATCGAATACTACTAGTTTACTTACGAGTATCCTCTTTCTGTATCGTTTCATTTCATTGAATATACAATGAAATAGAGTGTTACAACAAAAAAGCGGGGTTGGTTAACTTTCCAACTAATATCTACCTGCACACAAAAAATCCACAACTTACTTGATATGTTTCATCTTCACCAGAATTGATAAATTTCACTTCTTTAGCACCAATTTCAATGCCTAAATTAATTGCAGCATCTAAATCGATTAAACGTTCACTAGATTTAGCTGAAACAGTGATTATGCCAGTATAATCGAAAAATTTGCCAATTATATCACCTGACGGAACAACAGTACAACTTAGGGGAGAGAGAAAATTAATTATTATGAACGAATAAATTTTTTACCCATATTTTTTTACAAAAGCACCAATATGTTGACGTTCATGAAGAACACGTTTCGCTCGACTTTCTACAATGACAAATAATCCACCTGGTGCTCTCAATTCAATAGCATACGGTTCAATTTGATCAATTGCATTTAATTGTTTTTCTAAAGTAGAATATGGCACTGATTTTGATTTAGCTTCAGCTAATACAGCAGCTAATTTGGTATTGATTTTCGGATCACGTATTCCTCCACCTACTTTAATTGTTTGCATTAGATAAACATTTCTGACTTACATTTAATTGCTTTTTGTACAGCTTTCACATAATATAATGCAGTCTGTGATTTTTCACGATCACCAGATTCTTTAATATGTTTTACATTTTGCCAATGTGCATGACCAGCAAATCGTTTGGTCTGTTGTTGTTGTTGTATAAGGAAAAGATGGCTATTATTAGTTTTTTTATATGTAAATAAATGCATTGGAATGCGAAAATTACGATTATTATTCATCGAGATGGATGATAATGATCGATGTACAATTAATCGAAATTTAATATTACTCATTTTTTTTAAAAAAAATGGAAATTTTGATAATTATTGAATGAAAATAAAAAAAAAATTAGTAATCTGATCAAGTACAATAATGATAGTTGATAGTTGATCTGAAAATGAAAAATAAAAACAATGAAATAGATGAAGTAAATAAAAAAACAAGTTTTTTTAATGTATTTTTCTCAATGAAATAGTAATAATAATAATATCTACTTATTTATGTTCAGAGCACGAATACAGAAAGCTCGATTGGCGCTTATGCCAACTTGCGTTCACTTATGGCGTAGGCGAGATATCTGTTTGCTGACTAAAGGACAGGTAGGTGTACTGTGCAGCAGTTCGCTACGTTCTCCTATATGGATACGAAACATGGCCGTTAAGAGTAGAAGATGTTCGTAGGTTACTAGTCTTCGATCATAGATGTCTTAGAAGTATTGCTCGTATATCGTGTGACAACCGAGTAAGCAATGCTGTTGTTAGGAAACGGGTGCTAGGTAAGGATGGTAGATCAATAGATGAAGTAGTGAAACTTCATCAGTTGAGGTGGTTGGCATATGTGTTATGTATGCCTAACCACCGACTGCCTCGACGAGCTCTGTTTTGTGGTGTAAGAGTAGGTTGGAAGAAAGTTAGGGGCGGCTAAACCAAAACATAGCACAAATCCATGAAGTCACTGACTAGTGGACTGAGTCATGTTGCTAGATGTAGACTACCTGGTTAGGGTCCGCGAGACGAAAGTCACCAATGGTTGAGAGACCTTGAACGACATGGCTCGAAATCGTTTGCAATGGCTTAAGTGCATCCATTCTTTGAGCTCTCTCTAATCCTAATCTTCTGGAATCGTCAGCACCTCTACCTTTGTCTTTCTAACCTTATCTCACTGAATTATACTTCTCGAATAATATCTTCAAAGCCTAGTCTTCTTCATTACCATTAATACCCCTACTATGTTTATCACTATGGGATTTGATTTCACATCTGCGTCTCTGTGCTCATATGGTATGGCAACATGAACTTATGTACATACGTACGAAGTTCTACGTTGCAACTGACTGACTGACTGACTTATTTATGTACACCTCAATTTAGAGAGTTTAAACTTTTCATCTTATATACTTCTAAGGAGAGTTGAGTTAAAACCTTATTAAAAATTATAATTTAGGAATGGTAACTGTAATAATGAATTTTTTCAAATGACATTTAAACTGGGAATGAGATGATAGTGATTATTTACATCACATGGTTGCTAGTTTGGAGTTGAGTTACTCTGAAGTCATGAATCATGAATGAATGTTATATAAACGTTGTCAGACATAGCTCAACTTGGAAGCTAGTGAAATGTTCCGCTGTAATTCGGGAAAATGGGACTTTTTTAAATTGAAGGTATTTTGTTGGTTGTACCAATATTTGGGTTTAATTAAATGAACGTAAAAAGTCTGATATGCAAAGCATCAGTAAAAGAAATTTTGATCTATGCTTATATCTCATACCTGAACTGAGGAAGCTAAGTGACTTTGTATCGCATCACTGTTGTCTCTGAACGATAGCTCATATTTAAGGATGAAACCATGTTAATGATGCTGAGGTCTAGTATTGTGTCGCGCAGTAGTAACGATAATTTCATTATTATTCCGATCTTAAAACATTGGCTTCGATGTGGTTTACAAACGCTGTTACAGCGAATCCTACACAACACATTATCTGGTTATGCTAGAACTAAGTTAAAAGCGAAAGTTTTGAGCTTACAATATGGTGCTGTGATAAAAGACTAATTTACAGGACTGGAATTCATACATCCATCAAAACTTTGGCTGGAGTTGTATATATTCTGAAATCCTGTGACTTCAGATGCTACCAAGTATGTCAGTCAGTCAGTTAGTCAGCTACAACGTAGAACTTCGTACATACGTACATCAGTTCAAGTTGCCATACCACATTAGCACAGAGATGCAATTGTCACTTCAAATTCCATATTGGTAGAGGTAGTGGATGTATTAGTGATAATCGGAGAGATGAGGGTTCCAGGATATTATTCAAGAAGTATAATCTAGTGAAATAAACTTAAAAACAGAAAGATAAAGGTGATGAAGAATCCAGAGGATTAGGATCTGAGAGAACACAGAGATTGGATGCACCTGCGCTATTGCAAAGGTTTTGAGTCATGTCATTTAAGGTCACTAACCATCGATCACTATTACCTCGCGGGCCCCAACCTACACTTACCAACATTACTCAATCCAGTTGTCAGTGAATTCACGGATTGGGACCATGTAGTGGTTTGGCCGCTCTTAGCTTCCTTCCAACCTGTTCCTACATCACTCAACATCGCTCCTTAAAGCTGTCAGTTGTTGGTTGGGTATATGTAACACGCCGTTCCTATCTAGTACCCTTGTCTTAGCAACAGCATTGCTTACTCGGTGGTTCCACGACATATGAACGATGATTCTAAGGAATCCATGTTATGCTAAATGTTTAGTCAGTCTGAAGTAGGCTGCCATCATTTTAGGAGCATAAGATTCTCGACAACAATTACAACTGTCAATAACTTAGGGTTTTTTCTTGCAACCTATGTACATACGACAAAGAGCCAATAGTTTATTATTTCTCTCCGATCAATTTGTAAAAAGTTTCAGACTAAGCCGTATTTTATCCATCTCGAAGTAGTGATTATGCTTTTATATCATTTAGTGTATCCATAATTTAATAACTTGTTGCATAAATCCACATAAAAACTACCACGACTTCTTACGACCATATCGAAACCGATTTCGGAGAACTTTATAATTGAATGGTTACGACTGTGTTGGATGGAAATAAGGATATCCCCAACCGTTTAACCAAAATATTTTTCTTTACCAGTCATAAGATAAACACTTCAGCTCTTCATCCTGGCTACATTTTAATACTCCCAATATTATTAGAATTATATGTGCACCCTAAAACAAACGGTGTTTTTGTCGGGATACATGTGACTGAAAATTAAATGGTACAAAGTAGCTTACCGAAATAGCTGCATGGAACTTATGGAAATTAACAATAAGATTAAGTATGGCTTTAATTAAAAGGAAATGCACATCTTACACTGAATGTCTACAATGTAGAGCCTAGAAGAGTTTTGCATTGGATTAAGCTGCCAAGTCAATAAGACCAATTCTAACCCATCTTTTTTTCGGAAACTGCTGCTGTACTTCATTTCCATGACAAGATCGAAACATATACACTATATCACGATTCCTTAATGGTATGCAGCTTACCTAACGACGTTGCTAGACAAATAGTTTAAGAATTCCGATGAAAAGCAGGTAGCTATTTCTGCTGAACAAAGGTAGTTTTGTCAATATTTATATAAGCAAAAAATGGTTCAGTATTCTTCTAATACAAGTATTGATATTGATGAGCTACTCTGTATACAAATTAAATGATTATGCAACAATCGTATTGATTGTAAGTAGAGAATGGTTACAGGAGTTATGTTAGATTGGTTTTCATTTCACAAACATGTAATTATAACGTACAGTATGAATGCACCGCCTTATTACTACAGTTTCACGGGAACATTTAAACCACGATGATTTTCGTATTTCTGAGACAAGAAACTGGATGGGTGATCCAATATCTTTTTCACGAGCTAGTATAAACCAACTGATTTCTTTTCGCTCGATTCTTGTTCTTTCGGTACTGTTCCAGGTGTCTGGTAGGGTCCAATGAATGGAGGTCTAGCCACTCGACTGTCGAATTCTAGTCAGTTGGCAGTTGGTTTTGAGTTTGTATATCTCAGTATTTGAATGAAAATGTTTGCTTCATTGCAGTAGGGTTTCTGGATACCAGTAGCTGTCACATTACCAGACCTGAGATCAGTTAGTTGCAATGTGGAGAGTAATAAGGATAATAATGATAAAATTCTAATGCTAATATGAATATGATTTCAGAGCTAAATAGATCAATAGGTAAATTAGTATGTTAATTGATCGTGAAGATTATGAGGGAGGACCGAATTGTAAGTAAGGGAGAGGAAACAGAGATAATAGGCGAGATAGATTAAGTAAGTGATCTGAGAATAGAGCAATGATAACAACTAGCAGCTCTCAAGATATGCATCATATACAGCATGTCCAAGAGAGAAACGATAATCTGTATGTGAATATGTGATTACCAAGTCTCTTTTTAAAGCTTTCTACTTAGGGGGCTGTGGTTATTAAACCAAGATCGCGCTCTGAGGAGACATTAGGGAGCGGATTTCCATTAAGGGTGTAGATAGTTTGCATCGTGTGAGGCAGAATATGCATGACGTGACACTGCGGTTGGTTGAGTGTTAAACTTTTTTTTACTGCCCATTCCTCAATAGGTATAAGATGGACCTCCAGATCTTCGCCGTTGAGCTAACTAAGCCTAAGATGTTCCCCTGTGAAACTACCGATGTGGATACTCGCCAAGTCGCGTGCACTCTATTTACCTTGGTACGAAACTTTCTATTCTCAAGGTAGTTTCTAAGCCAAGATACGAGTGGTTCAGTGAAGCCCATTTCCACAAACTTTGCGGTTAGGTGTGCGCGGGATACTGTGTCAAAGGCTTTTGCAAAGTCGAGAAATATTACGTACACCGGTATTTTTCAGTCCAAGCAGGATGTTCAACTGTCCCATGCTATGAGAAGATTTGATGCACACGACCTGCCTTTCCGAAACCCATTTTGAGCTTCATGGAGTGTTTTATTTTTATCCATGTACTCCCTCATTTGTTCGTCCACCAGCCCTTCCATTACCTTTGATAGTGTTGGTAGTAATGCGACTGTTCTGTAACAGGATGGTTCCTTTCTATCTCCATCTATGAAGACTGGAGAGAGAGTAGCCTGTTTCCATTCAGCTGGGAGTTGGTGTGACTCCAGTGAATGCCTGAACAGGTCACATATCGGTGGACAGAGGACGTCTACACATTTTCTCAAGACTATGGGGTGAATATTGTCACAACCTAATGACTTTCCTCGGCATAAGAATTTTAGTTTTCTTAGTACTAAGTTAGGAGTGATACGGATGTTCCCCGGGCCGTCAGCTGTCACTGGGTTCGCGTAGTACTCCGAATATGTGGGTGCCGGGTTAACTGATCAGTAAAGTCAGTGTTGAAGATCTCAGCCATCTCTAGTTTGGTGAGGTCTTCCCCGTTTGGTCCTTTGAGAGAACACAATCCCTGATTCGTAGGTTTTCTTTTAGCCATGAACCTAAACAGATGCTTAGGGTTTGCCTCCATTTTGGCAGCCAGCTTAATCTGAAAGCGTCTCTTGTCACTTCAGACTTTGGTATTGCATCTGTTTCTCAATGCCAAGTAAGAACTAGGATCAGAATCCTCCAAGGAGACCTTCCACTTGTGTCAGTTTCTCCTCTTCGCCTGTAGCAAGCGTTTAATGCCGAGCCTAGCCCATGTTCTTTTATACCCTGGTGTGTGGTGTGACTGAGGTACATTGTCTGCGACAGCGTTTTGGATGATATCTCTCACTGATTGCTAGTGATCATCTATTATTATTATTACTGCCAGCCTCCACCACTCCCGTGGCCATGGGGCCTCTCTCAAATGCGTATAGTTTGCCCTAATGTAGCTGAGATAGGGCTCGTTTACGTCCTGTGTGAGTGTTTCGTTTATGACCATGTTAAACAAGACTGTGCCATGGTCACTACTACCTATCGGTGTATGGACGTGAGCATCCTCAACAAGGATCTGGTCATTTGTTTTCAGATAATCCACGTTTGAGGACTTTCTCTCTTTGGTCCATCTAGTGGCACTGCATACATGCTCAGTCAGCCCCGAGCTCCTAATGGCTGTATCAGGCTGTCTTTGGAATCAACCAGTGGGAGTTATACTCTGATTGTTGAGATTTAGAAATGGGGTATTGAAATCTGCAGCAAAGAGTATTTGATCAAACCCCAGGAGTGGCAGTTGCAGTACTGCCTCACTCAATTTGCCTTTCTGAGCTTTAGTACATGGGGGAGGTTGGTAAATCCCTCTAATACAGTATTTTGTGTCATTCGTGTGGCAACAACACCAACACGGTTCTGTCACCTCAGTGTCGTATAGCCGCTCGGCTTTCAAGGGGCTGTTTATACATATAGCCACTGCGCCTCCATTTTGGTGTACCCTATCGCTTTGGAAGAGTGTCATGCCTAGCATGCTCACTTCGTTGTTTGCAATGTCATGGGATGGCCATATTTCAGCTAGGATCATGAACTTCAGATCCACCCGAGAGCACAGGTCCCTGATTTCTAACAGCCTACCCCGTAACCCCCTTACGTTGCCATAGAGGCACTTGGTGGTTTTTCTCAGCACCTGGTGCACCTCTGCAGCAATAGCCGCCATTGGGTTTTTAAGCAAGTTGTTCAAACCGAGTTGGCTAGTTCTGTGGGAACTAGCCTCTGCAGGTTTTTTGCCTGTGCAGTGAGTTCAATGGGCGAGGCTATTATCCTCATGTCTTGTGCCAGGGGATGTTGGTCAAGGTCAACTGTCAATTGTGTGCGTGTGTTTTGGCCTCCCTGCTGTTGTTTCACAGATATTGGTCGGCTTTAACAGCAAATCCCACTGGTGAAATGAAAACATTGATTATCATAACAATTTTACCAGTGATTTTTTAGCTGTTCTTTTTGTTGATAACACTTTTCTACGCACAACTTTCTATGTGCGTTGCTACCATATTAGCTGTACCGCTCTTTAACTTCGCCCTCTTTTCTGGTGTAATTTCGGTGTTCTTTCAACACCACGAAATCACCAGCAAATATATTCTTTACCACGGATTTATTTGTCTTCTCAGTGACGGGCTAGTAATTAGTATTTAGTGGTGATCATAGTCAATCTGGACTTGGTCACCACTAACCATCTATCGTGTGATGAACGATTTTGAGGGTTATATTTTTATAATATAATATTTATGACCGGTGTATTCGGTAATAAGATGTTATATGCCACCCTCAGCTGATATAATAAAACTCGCCTACATTATATTCGGAATTCGTTACCACTTCTGGAGTCCATATATTCGGGTGTCCTATGGGATCTTATCAGATGCTTGCATAAAATTTTATCACTACTATATTTCGTCGACGGAGAAGTCTAGGTAAAAGTCATCAATCCCATGGGCGTATCCTACGTACATTACTCAACTCAGTGAGAGCTTTGTAGGATTTAATTTGTCCTACAGATGTAATTCTAGAACAGTTTACGCAATACTGGCGAGCACAGAGTCTATAGGAAAGCTATAGTAAGAATAAGATCAACTTGGTTTCAAACTTTATCTGTTTCTAAACATAAAAACAATTAAATTAGTACAAAAAATAAGGAAATTACAATTATCAAGCAAGACGAGCAAACATACTGACCAGTATAGCGTGTCTTTAGAAATGAATAAAACTACGAGTCACATCAATATAATAAGATGATAATGTCTTTCAATTATTAGGTCATTTACAACAAAGAAAGTTTACAGACACGTCAGATCAGACCTCGTGGTGGGCGCTTAAACCACAATTTGATTGGTGAGTTATGACATAACCACAATTAGTTATGAAAATAACTAACAAGCTTCTCCAACTCTTATTGTCTAATTATGTTTTGCTGCATTAAATCCATGGTTTCAATGATCTGTTTAGGGATACGTTACTTATTCGCAGCATGAAAGCTAATCTGACACTCATACGCACAAATCTATGGCCTTGAATAGCGGTGTGTAGGATACAGCTTATGTCTACTCCTTTGAATTTCAAAGAAGCACTGAAAAAATACTTGAAGAAAAAAAATTGTTTTATGTATACACCAAAAAGCAATTTTTTTAACAAAACTTAAGTATGAATAGATTAGATTTCTGGGATTAAGTTAACTCGCTCGGTATACCAGGCTGGATAGTCGTTTGTACACTTACAACCCTTTCGGTCACACGTGGAAGAACCTAGTTGCGACTTACTGATTATGTCGGGTAAACAGTCCAATAACACATATGGAAGTTCATTATCCCACTTTTAACACAAGGATAGACAAACTCAACTTGTAGTCTTAAAGTTGTCCCAGTTGCTAGTTAAGCGGAAGAACATAGTGAATCAGTTTTGATAACCGTTCTTATTCCTGAAATAAGTGATGGAAGGAATTTCGCTTATTGACTGGGGTTTGAGTGTAATATTAGTACAAGTTTTAACTGTCTGTCGAAACGTTCTACCATCCCTTTTGAATGACAGATTGCCACAGATCCTCACGATCAAAAGCGTCGAATGCCCCCGAAAAACACTATGATTGTGATTACTAACTAATTACTCCGAATATTTTTACATTTTAATAGAGCGGTCACCAAAGGTTTCCGGTTGATACGGTTGCTTCATGGACCATCCAAATGCTTGGACAATGACATCTTTCGGATTTTATACATCATCTACATGAGACCTCATTTCGAGGATGCATCTAAGCAACTGGACATGTCTGAATAAGGATGTCATAGAACTTGAGCATATCAAAAGTGAGGAAACCAAGCTAGTGACGGATCTTTCAAACTTTCTTTTAAAGAATGCATTAAGCGCCCTAACCTTTTGTCCTTATTTAACGGTACAAAAAGAGGTGATCTTATTTTAGAATTCCTTATCTTGAATAACAATATGGGTGTGAACATGTTATATCTCTTTTCTTCCTTCGGAACTTATCATTTAGCAGGACTGCTGCAAGTATGTTCTGCAACCACAATCGAAAATGCTCAGAATGGGGCTTTGTTTACACACAGAACAATCAACGATTGAACAAGTTGTATTAACCTCATCTGTGTACATCTTGATTAAAAGCTGTGTTCAAAATAAACAACTCCGAAAGTAGGCACAGGTTAAGTAATCCTCAAAACTGAATTAAATAGGTTTGTTTAAGTTGGTTGGATATGTGGTGAAAGTTTCAAAACGCTCAAAATGGGTTCTGATGAAAATGCCAAGAGTTTCGAAAAGGTCGCGGTAGATCCGGTATGTTATTCCTATATTCGCCGTGATGATTTTTTTTTCAAAGTATTCCATATACTATTTTTAAAACGCTCTGTAGACTTCTTTTTCATACATATGACGGGTCCAAAAAGTTAAACCTGCTAAGCCTCCTACAGTATTTTGGGCAAGACATATGACTTTTCAGTATGAAATACTAAACAATGAAATCAGACTTGGTATATGCTTATTATATCGAGGCTTAATTAGGAGACATAGCGAGCGAATACGAAGTGGGTGAGATGACGTAAAAGATTTTGAAAATGTGATGTATTTGCTCCAGACATTTCGAACAGTCCGGTCACACATATACTTGTCGAAACATTCTATATGAAAATCTTTGAAAGGTCGATTAACTAAAAGTTTAAATAGACATAAGGTGATAATTGCAAATGGAGGAAAAATTATCATAATACTCAAAGAATAAGAAAAGGTTAAGAAATTGTCACAATACTCTAGGCCAGAGTGCGATCACTCTTCCCTATGTATGTGCCGACACACATTTTAATTGATAAATGCAATGGGATGTGATGCAATCATTCAAGCGATTTCCAGGACTATGCGGAATCATCGGCTAAGTCTTTTCAATTATAATCAGCTTGGCAGCGTAGTATATTCCCTCTATGGCTGCTTTTGGTTGCTGTTTTAAAATTGAACCAGTTATTTCGCCTCTAAATGGTAAAGTAATGTAAATAATTTTCTTTTCAGCAGAATGAAAAACAGGCTTTTGTCTTAACTGGTTTCTACACCTATTGATGGACTTTAGCGGATAACCGTTTGAAATCAATGTTTCAGCCAAGAAATTCGCATTGTCTTTAAATGTGTCCGTGGTGCAAATTCTTTTTGCCCTGTTAAAGAGGCATTTTACAAAGCCTCGCTTTTGTTGCAATGAATACAAACTTCTGAAATGTAAATACTGTCCAGTCCAAGTTGGCTTTCTATAAGTTGAACACTCTATAGTTGTTCTATTTTCCCTTCGACTCAACAGTATGTCTAAAAAGGGCAGTTGGTTATTACTTTCTGCTTCGTGGGTTAGGACAATGTCGTTCTGAAGGCTATTGAAGTTATTCAGTAGCTGAGAGACATTGAATTCTTAATCGCATAAAACCAAAATATCATCCATGTATCCTGTACAGAGTAAGCTTATTGGTGTGCTCATTCCATAAACTCTCAACATATGCCATATAAACATCAGCTAAGAATGGTCCCAAAGGACTACCCATAGTAACCCCATTAACTTGTTGGAAATGTTCACCATCAAATATGAAAGGAACTTTTTCAGTACATGATAAAAGTAGTTCTCTTAGTAGTGTTGACCCAATAGGAAAAAGGGGGAAACTACTCCATATATAGTCTCAAAGGAATTTAACAGTTTTAATTGGAGGTACATTGGTAAAAGAATGAACAAAAAGAATCCACAAAAATTGGACAGAACTGGGAAGGAAAGCCCATGACAGAGTACGTTGGAGAACACTGATCGGCGGTCTGTGCTCCATCGGGGGTAACAGGCATAAGTAACTAAGTAAGTATATCGGTAAAAAGGGAGTTTACATCAAAAGAATGCATAGTCTTTCCTTTAATATTAATGTCATCAAGAACAATTAGTTCAAATGTATCTTATGTGTAGGTGAGCCACACAGATAATATTTGTCTTAGTAGATTATTAGGTTTATGAATTTTGGGCAACCCAAATAAATTCGAGAGTTCAGAACCAGTGGGTTTTAACATGTTGAATTCATCCTTGTTGATAACATTCATTTTTTTGAGTAGCTTCATTAGATTGGCGTTAACCCTCGATTCTAATTTTTTTAACCTCATTAATAGACAAAACACTAGTCTTAAACTTCCTTTCATCACTAAGGATGGATGACATTTTCTTTTTATAGCCACATTCATTACAACTAAACCAGAACCTTTGTCAGGTTTGAGAATCACAATATCTGGTCTTTTAGAGAGGTTCCTTGAGGCATTGAAATGTTTGGATGTTAAAATATGACATACGACAGAAATATTTGATAATACACATGATGCACGAGTATGAAGTTCGATTAGCTTACATATTATTTCATTACATTTTTCCACGTGAGATTTCGTGAGACGAAGGAGATTAGAAATATTCTGAATTAATTTATTGGATCGTAAGAATTTATAAAATTGTCTGGGAAATATGTGCACGATTTGTAAAGGTCCAGCCTTAGCTTTTAAGAAACGATTTTGCACTTAAGAGTAGCAAGTTCATCCAAACTCCGTCATGAATTAATCGGTTATGTAAACTTGCTCTGTACTAATGTGGTATGGTATTCTGAACTGATGTACGTACGTACAAAGTTCTACCTGGTTGCTGACTGACTGACTGACTGACTCTTCAATTGGTTCTTTGATATGTTTCTGATTGTTCAGTTATAACATTCTTATCTTTCTTTTTTACTTGGATTTAGCTGGAACCATTGGTTCTTCGTCCACCTGTTGGATCTGAGGTGTATGGATCACCTCCGGCAAGACGTACTACAAATCGTAGCCGTCCTTTCATATTGGGTTCATTATTTCTCTTATTCACATTGTTAATGATTGCCAGTGTATTTCTACTGTTATACATTCTTGGTTATAGACCATTAACTTCATTGAATCATAAAGCAAATGCACACAAATCCATTTGTCGTATTCGTATTCCATTTTTAAAAATAGATCCTGTTGAATCGATTACAACAGATGAGAATTTTCTTAATGTTACACTATCTGAAGTACCATACTACAATGTGATACGTATTTTACATCTATTCTCTGAGGGTTTAACAGTAATTAGAACAAATAAGCATTGTTATATTAGACCATTGAGAGCTGAATTAAGAGGATCTGGAATTGAAGATTATTTGCGTCGATTAAATGTGAGTTACTTTTAATCTTGAGAAATCGATTTGTTTGTTTGTTATTTTTGCTACCAATTTAGCTACTGTTTAACAACATTGCTGCTACTCATATGCTTAGACTAAGGTAGACTAAATGAATTTCAGACTATGATATGAGTCAATACCGGAGCTACTTACCTATTCAACCTCATATCTGTTACTTACTGTAAGAGTAAAAATCTAAAATTTTCTCTAAAATACACCTACAAGATTGTGAAGCAATCATAATCTACTGCAGTTTATATATTTTCCTAAGATTTAAATAAAATATAAGAATAGCTTAAAATATATCACAGGTTACGATAGAATATTATGATTGGTAGTGTGGTGTGAGCTACTTATAAGTAGTATATGACGTGAATGTCAACGTAATGTCTGGCAGCAGAATATGGGGGAAGATCAAGAAAGGAAGAGTTAGAAAACAATGGAATTTGTATGAAACGCATGAATAGTGACAATGGATGTTTGATGTTTTGCAACAGGAACATTCCAGTTCGATATGATGAACTGATATTTTGCAAATTCCCTTGATCTATTCATTCGCTGTGTTGATGAGTTTCTATCTCGACTTCACTGCTCTTCAACTTTGTCATCGATGGCATTCTGGGAACACATCTGATGGATGTAGGTAGTGGTAGTGTGGATCTGTTATTTGGAGAAGGGATTTTCGATACTCAGTATGCGGAATGATATTGTCTTTCTGTGTGATGATGCCATTGGTTGACAATCAGTGTGCATAGGTATTGCGTATGCTTTTCATCTTCTAAGTGTAAAGAACTTGCATTAACTCTCTATAGCAATTAGGATTTATGAACTGAGTAATTATCACTAAACGCAGACCATAATTTAAAAAGCGCATTGAAAATTCACGAAGTATTTAAACAAAAATGCGTTGAAAGTTGACTTAATATTAATCTGAACTCTATGTTGATTTTCTTTTTAATACGTTCTATTTGGGGATCGCACATCTTCAACACTTGTACAAGCTCTCTACCTAGACGCACCCCCTAATAGAGCATAGGTCACCAATCAGCCTTCTCCAACCAATTCTGTCCTGAGCCTTCCTTTCGCCTCCTACTCAACTACCATTCATACTTTTGATGTCTGCTTCCAGTGCTCAGCGTACTATGTCCGCAACAACTTGAATGATTCTTCCGGTCCCCCACTATGTACTGACGTCCCGTTTTACCTTAATTAATGTTTGCTCTACTTGTTAGAAGGAGTATCGTTCTCATGATTTCAGAAAAAAACTCGGCTTTCGTCATGAAGCGTCATAACTCTTCTAACTAAAGAACTTCCGAATCCCAGGACAGAGTTTAAATAATTTGAATAATTTTTTTCTGGTTAACGTTTTTTAGCGAGTTGGTTTACTACGGAATGAGGTGGCTAACCTCATGCCCAATCCCCCCCACTGCTTAGGATCGGCACTAACCCTAGAAGGGTTACAAGCAGAGTTAGGTTGTTTTGGGGCTACAAACAATTACTAATTCAAATATTTACTCAATCACGAAAGAATCCCAGAAACATATCCGTTATAAGCTTCTTTTTTTTCTCTGTTTGTAATATGTATCTATATTTACATTACTTGACTTAGCTAACAGTAATTTAATTGAGATATAGGGTTAATTCAATTTTCAATGCAAATTCTATCATTATTAATGGATAACAATTCTTTCTATCTTCTGTTTGCTTCAATTAGGATGGAAATGATTTGAAAGATTCCGTGGAGGGATATCCTGTCACTGAACCGTGGTTTATTGATCGTGATCCTTATAATACCATTCATAATTCATTGATTATGTCATGGTGTGCTGGTGTACCAGCATTTCGTTTAGTTTCAACACGACCCCCGATCAATCACGACGATTATAAAGAAGATATCATGCCTGGTGTAAGTTGTTTACTTTTTTGGAAGGTGTAAAGTGTTATGTTGTCTGTAAGTTATATGATTATGATTATCATTATTATTAGCTGTGAGATGAGTTAGTCAAGAAGGAAAACAATGAGTAAGTTGTGATTTGTTTTGTATTTCCACATTTGGAAGGATTTGATTTTGACCGATTTGGTCTCGTGTGCTGTTAAGGGTATGAGGGTGGTTGTCACTTCCCGGTTGCCCACACCGTGGAAGGTTGTTTCTTGAGGAACCTGAGAAGGAAGGTGGTTTAGAGTTGGTCTTAGAGACCTGGGAGCGTGACTGCGGAGCCCAAGGGACAACTGCTTCAGGCCGGTCACGCACGTCTTTTTGATGAAAGGTTTTTAGAGGATTAGCTCCGCTCTTAAAGGCCTTTAGTGGGCACCCTTACCTCCGGAGACGGAAATCCGTGAGGTAAGGTGAGGTGTGGCATTTTTAGGGTCGACCTTTTCTAACCCTTCCTTCGTTCCTTTTGAGAAGGCAGCATCACTGCAGATGCAGGTTGTCCGAGGGAAACACCTCTTACTGCTGTCACACCCTTCTGCAGTGAGCAGTACGACTAAACCCTCAGACCTTGAGTAGCTGCTTTTAGTCTCATAGTTCTCCAATCGACCTGTTTGGTATGGTAGAACCTTCAGGAACATATGTTCCAGCCAATATAGCTCGGTTGGGTCATGATGATAGGCAAGCCCGACCACCACGTGTCAAGGTAGCAGCCTCGGTCGGCATTTCCAAATGATGATTGATTAATGATTTCAAATGTGTAAAAACGCAAACCTCCAAAACTGTGCCCCAATATAATGTAACAGTGCTCACTAGTGACTAGCTTCGTGAGGAAATTCTCGGAGTTCTAGTTGAGAAGACGTGACCAGTGGAGTTCAACCCTGTCGGGTGTAGGCAGTAACTACCAAAGACAAATGGGTGAGGTCGCGCAAAATCCCTAGATCAATCAGAGTTAGGCATTAACACCGTTGGATGCCGGCCCAGTGGTCCGATAGTAAGGCGTTCGCCTACAATGCCAAAGGTCCCGGGTTCGAATCCTGCGAGGAGCAGGAGTCGTGGATGCGCACTGCTGAGGAGTCCCATACTAGGACGAAACGGCCGTCCAGTGCTTCCAGGTTTCTAATGGTGGTCTAACAATGATGATTGATTAATGATTTCAAATGTGTAAAAAACGCAAACCTCCAAAACTGTGCCCCAAAATTTCCAAATTTACTTACAGTTTACACGTAAAACGATAAATTCTGATATAGTGTAATGGTAGCCTTTGGACTCTGATATTTAATAATGTCAGGGAGTTTGTAAGTCAAAAACAAGTCCCTATATGAACAAATGTACATATGATTGGCAGCTAGACCGGAGTAATCTTTAAAAATGATGCCTTCGTTAAATGTGTTTATCATACATTTAATCATTTTTTATCTGATATAAGTTGGTCACTTGATCACTGAGAAGGTTGACAGACTATCACTGTCACTTCTTCTGGAAAGCATATATTTAAATTGTGATCATGTTTCAATACGAAATATTTCTGTGTATATTAGCATGTCACTAAAAGTAGAGAAACTGTAACAGGTGCATTTCTCTCGCATTAAAAAAAAAACTGGTATGGGATTTATCAGTGGCAGTGTGCATCCACGAGTCCTGCTACTTGCAGGATTCGAACCGCAGGACCTTTGGTCTTATACACGAACGCTAAATCCGATCAGTCTAGAGATTTTGCGCGACCTCATTCATTATTTGTCTTTGGTAGTGTTAGTGGGACATAGATGGAATTAAAGCATGACTGCGTCAGCTGCGCGCTGATTGGCTGATTTCCTATCCAATCAGCGCCTGATCGATTCTTGGAGAACAGAGTAGAAGATTCTCGTATTGTTAACTGCGTGCTGATTGGCTAAATCTAATCCAGTCGATCACGTGAATTTCTATCCAGAAGCTTCTCATGTAAATGCTATAAATAAACTAACGTTGTATCTATTTTTGCCTCCTTTGCCCTCGCCTTCGCCATCACCTTTGGCTTCTTATTTCCATTTAACCTTGCTATTTGGAATATAATCTTTTCCTGTTCAACCGTGTTTTTGATTCTAGGGAACTTGTCCAGTGTATTGTGGTCAGAGTATACTAAGCAATAGGAATTAGCCAGGAATTATCCAAGCAAGCGTTACAACAGGTAGTTACTGCCTACACCCGCCAGAATTGAACTCCACCGAAGGTCTTGGGTTTGGAATCCCCCAAGGTGCAGGAATCGTGGATGCACACTGTCACTGATAAGTCCCATATCAGGATGAAACGGCCGTCTTCTGCAGTGCTTCCAGGTTTCTAATGGTGGTCTAACAATGACTGATTGATGATTACTGTTGTAACGGTTGCTTACGATATTTCCCGGCTAAATCTTATCGCTTAGTATTCTTGACACAAAACACTGGACAAGTAACACAAATCAAAACACGGTTGAACAGGAAGGATTGTATTCCAAAATAGCAAGGAAAAGAAGCTGGAGGTGATGGCGAAAGCCAAGGCAAGAAGGCTTGAAGGCGAAGAAGGCAAAGATAAATACAATGCTAGTCTATTTATAGCCTTTACAAGAGAAAGCTTCTGGAAGAAAATTCACGTGATCGACTGGACTGGATTTGGCCAATCAGCATGCAGCTAATGATACGAGAATTTTCTATCCTGTTCTCCAAGCTTCGATCAGGCGCTGATTGGATAGGAAATTAGCCAATCAGCGCGTGGTGACGTAATCATGCGTTAAATCCATCTATGTCCCACTAACAATTACATTGTGTAAATCTACTTCAGTTAGTTTTTTTCTTTGCGTTCGCCTCCCCCGCAGCCCCCGCTCTGTACTGATTGTCATTTTTTAAAATTTTTTGTTGTTGTTGTTTAGATGCCAGATGAATCAATTAAACCGAGTAATCCAGATCCATTCGTCGGTGATTTTGACAATAATAATAATAATGATCAAGCGGACATCCTACGTATCCTTCTACCTGGTTAGTTCTTTTTTTAATCCCAACGGATATTCATTATTTCTTATTAGAAAAAGTTGAATCTCTTGACTTGTAGGTGAATTCTTCACTTCATGTCACGGACCCCGTAATTGAATCACAAAACGTACACTTTCATCATGTTGCCTTCTTTGTTAATAAACACAGTCATCACATAAAAGTGTAGTGAACGAGAACAAAGGTGGGGCAACCGGATTGTATTTAATGAAAATTACAGTTACTCAGTAAAATAGGAAAACCATATCGTAAATCGTTAATTTGCAAAATATCAGTCCATCATATCGAACTGGACTGCTCCTGTTGCAAAACATTAATCGATTGTCATTATTCATGCGTTTCATACAAATTCCATTGTGTTCCCATTCCTCCTTTCTTGATCTTCCCCCATATTCTGCTGCCAGACATTACGTTGACACTTACGTCATACACTACTTATAAGTAGCTCGTACCACAAGAGGAATAAATGTAGGGTTGTCATGTTGGAACGAGTGTGGGAGAGAGTGAGAGAAAATCAATTCTGTGCTGAATGTGTCGTGTACATGGCAACTTGGGGAATAATCTATGCAGCTGTTGTAACCCCTTAGCTACATTGGCTACATTTTTTCACTACTACGACCAGCTAAGACTTGATGATACATTAGCGGTTAAAACTGAAGTAACTGAAGTAACCATGAAAGTAAATAACAATTTGATCTATTTCCTAACTGTCTCATGAATATCAGGCTCTTGGATTTGAACTGACATTTGCGTCTCTGTGCTAATGTGTTAGTATGGCAACCTGAACTGATGTACTTATGTACGAAGTTCTGTGTTGTATCTGTCTGTCTGTCTTATATCAGGGGTTGTGTGAATTATCCTGTATTAATGAGTTAGTCAGTCAACTACAACGCCTACGACTTCGTACAGTAGTTGTCATACCACATTAGCACTGAGAGATAGAATCGTCAATTCAAATCCCATAGTAGTTTAGATAGATGTAGTAGAAGTATGAGCAGTAATCGAAAAGATCATGGTCTGAAAATATTATACAAGAAGTATATACCAATAAAATTTTCAAATAGAAAGATAATGGTGATTGGGAATTCAGAAGATTAGAATTTAAGAGAATACAACGAATGGATGCACCTGTGCCATTGCATACGATTTTGAGCCATGATGTCATTCCAGGTCTCTAACCTAACCATCAGTTATTATTGTCTCGTGGACCCCAATCAGAGGTAGTGTACACTTACCTACATGGTTCAGTCCATCTTTCAATGACTTCGTGGATTTATGCCATGTTTTGGTCCTGTATTGATTAACTTGTGATGATAGACAAACAGTAAAGACGCCGTCCTACTATACGGATGCGAAACATGGCCGTTAAGAGTAGAGGATTTTCTAGGTTACTAGTCTTCGATCATCGTTGTTTCCTAAGCATTGCTCGTGTATCCTGGGGCAACCAAATAAGCAATGCTGTCGTTAGGAAACGAGTTCTAGGTAAGGATGGCAAATCAATAGATGAAGTAGCGAGTGTTCATCAGTTGAGGTGGTTGGGACATGTGTTATGTATGCCCAACCACCGACTGCCTCGATGAGCTATGTTTTGCAGTGTAGGAGTAGGTTGGAAGAAAGGCTACCTGGTTGGGGTCCGCGAGACGATAATCACCGATGGTTAGAGACCTTGAACGACATAGCTCGGAATCGTTTGCAATGGCGCCGGTGCATCCACTCTGACCTTCTGAATTCTCCATAATCTCTATCTTTCTCCTTCTAAATTTATCTCATTGAATTATACTTATCGAATCATATCTTCACTCCCTAATCTTCTCCATTACTGCTAATACTTCTATTATTGCTATCACTCCTGGATTTGAACTGACAGTTGTGTCTCTGTGTTGATGTGGTATGGCAACCTGAACTTGATGTACGAAGTTCTGCGTTGTATCTGTCTGTCTGTCCGTCTGATAGACAAACAGTAGAGTCAGTCAGTCGATTACAACGTATAACTTGGTACGTACGTACACATTCATCAGTTCAAGTTGCCATAGTACAGAAGAGAGAGAGAGAGAGAGATGAAATTATCTGGTGAAATCAAAGATCCAATTATCAAAAGTACAAATCAATGAAATAAATTTCTCAGAAACAAAGAAGCCAAGTTTTATGTGAAATTTTAAAGCTTAGAAATTCAGGCGAAAGACAAAGAATGATTCCACTTGTGCGCCACCATATCATTATTCATAGTCTGTTCAGTCAGTTAACAACGTAGAACGTCGTATGTATGCACATTAGTTCAGATTGTCATTTCAATTCAAATCCCATGGAGGTAGAAATAGTCGAAGTATTAGAAGCAATCGGAGAGATTAGGGTTCGATGATGTTATTCAAGAAGTATAATTCAGTGAGTAGTATGGTAGTATTGACAGAAAATTTCATCTAACTTTATTACAGTTTAATCAATAATGTCATTCTGTGTTTACATTATAAATCAATTATCCTGATATCTATTCACATTGATAATAATAATAATAATAATGATAGTAATCATAAATGCAGACATTTTCGTTGCATACATACATACAAATGTGGATAGCAGCATTGATAGACAGATAAATTTGTCTGATTGTGAATAAATAAATCAATCATTTAGTCAATCCCGATCTGTCTGTGGAATGATTTACATTATTTAGTATTTTCATTTTGTAATTAAAATTAAATCTATTTGGGTGTTGTGAGTGAAATAACTAACTAACTAACTGAGCTACTACTGATTTGACACTGTTGTTTACCAGTCTGTATTGTAGATGCCTAGGTGTAAGGATGGCAAATCAATTGATGAGGTCAGTGGATCTTCATCAGTTTAGGTGGTTGCTACTTGTGTTACGTATGCTTAACCAATCAATCACTGACTGCCTTAAAGAGCGGGGGTTATCTGATGTAACGGTAGGCTGAAAAAGAGCTAGCGATGGCCAAAATTAAACATGGCATAAATCCATGAAGTTACTGACAACTTAACTGAGCCGTGTTTGTAGATGTAGACTTCCAGGTAGGGGTTCGAGAGATTACAGTAACTGAAATGGCTCAAAATCGTTTGCAATGGAGTAGATGTATCCATGAGATGGTGGAGAAAATTTGTAGCTCAGGTGGATGATTGTGGTGGTGTTTGGTTCTCTGAGCTGGATATTTTGGTTGTGGAGCTTTGATTGTTCTTCTATTGAACAGCATCATCAGCAGCACAAACTTCAGATAGTAGAAGTGAAGTATTCGAATTTCTCCACATTTGACCTGTAGCTTGTTCTGCTAACCTCGATCTTGATTGGTTGCTGTTGATCTTAAACCTGTCGTTGTTTGCACCTTTGTTTTGTTTGTATCCCCCTTTTTGATCTGCTTCTTGATCCTACGTCACCTATGATTTTCCTGATTGGTTTATAAATTGGGTCAACTTCGATGTGTTTGTTGGTTGCTGATTGACCTGAGTGCCAAGCTTCTAAAAATTCCCTAGTATTCTTTGTTCTCCCCCTACCCAGCATTTCCACATTGTTCCAATTGAATATGTGTCCATAATTGTCGGTGTGTATTGATATAAGCGAAGCGTTGTCGTTGTAGCGTTTGACTGTTAATTGGTATCCATTCTTGATGTTCCCTGAAATTCTAATCTTCTTAATTCCTTATGACCTTTGTGTTTCGCTTTTTAAGTTTATTTCACTAGTTTATACTTTTCGAATGATATCTTCGACCCCTAATGTTTTGGATTGCAGCTTTCACAATGAGAGCCGACCTGACTGTTTCATCTCTCTATGTTAATGTGTTATGACAACTTCAACTGATGTATGTACATACGTGCGTAGCAAATTCTACGTTGCAACCCAGTGAGTGACCTACCACGTAGTATGCTTTGATCAGCATAAAAAGAAAGATTTTGTTGAAAAGAGAAACCAGTAATAGTTTTCACTGATTCAAATATCCCTTCAGAGATGAACAGAAAGTACATGGAGTTTTTTGTAATAGTTCAAAGAAACATTAATTCAGGATAATTAAGTGTAGCTGCCAGTCAGTGTTCATAACAATGAAAAGGATAGAACGACAACAGCAAACCCCGTTGTATTCAACTTCTTCTTATGTCTAATAGTTTTAAACAATAAAGACATGACTGACATATAATGGAATTAAGATAGAAAGTTGTTACATCCTCTGGTTGATGCAGTTTTTCTTATTTTTCTCTCGACTCTTTTTTATTACTTGTAGATCGTGAAAATATTCGTCCAGTACGCAGTGTAGACTCAGCCCAAACAATGCCTGCTAAAAAAGGAAAGTTATCTAAGAAATCATGTAAGTCATCTTTAGTTTATTCTTAGAATTGAAAAAAAATTAAATTCTTGTCAGTTTTGTTACTTTGTAGACAATGGTTTCAAAAATGTGTGTGTAACTTAACAATCTTCACAACCCCTGTTATGAAAATTACCTGTGCTCACTAGTGACTAGCTTCGTGAGGAATCTTCTCCGAGTTCTAGTGGGAAGACGTGACCAGTGAAGTTCACAACCTGTTCGGATGTAGACAGTAACTACCGAAGACTGTGTATGAGGTTGCGCAACTCCGTGAATTGATCAAGTTAGACATTAACACCGTTAGATACCGGCTCAGTGGTCCGATGGCTAGGCGTTCGCGCACAATACCGAAAGTCCTGGGTTCGAATCCTGCGGGGTGTGGGAGTCGTGGATGCGCACTGCTGATGAGTCCCATATCAGGACGAAGCGGCCGTGCTTCCAGGTTTCTAATGGTGGTCTAACATTGATCGATTCATGGTTTCAAAATGTGTAACTTAACAATCTTCACAACCCCGTAAGACAATTGAAACTATCATTATTATATATATATATATATATATATATATATATATATATATATATATATATATGTTCATCATGTTCGGATTGCCTCGATATAGGCACTAAGTCACCAGCATTATTATTAGCAGATGTGAGGTTAGTGGCTGACAGCAGAATCCACGACTGATGGTTTGCTCTATTTAGGACTAGTCAGCTCCATATACCTGCTATACCACAGAGTTATTGTTCCCTTGGGGCACTCAAGTCTAGTACTGTTCACTTCAAACAAACAATAGGGATTTGTCTACACAAAGTACTACGGATCAGTTGGCCAGACAACATCAACAACCTATTGTAGCAGTGAACAAACCAGCTTCCTCCAACGGAGGAAGAAATCAGGAAGAAGTGCTGGCAGTGGATAGGATAGACATTCAGGAAAGCACCCAACTGCCTCACAAGACAAGCCCTCACTTGGAATCCTCAATGTCAAAGGAAAAAAAACAACACCAACGAAAACATAATGTCGGGAAATGAAGACGGACCTGAGAAGAATGAACAGCAGTTGTACAAAACTGAAAAGGGAAGGCCCAGGACTGAGTAGGTTGGAGGAACGGTGGTCGGCGGACTACGGTGCATTGAGGCTATCAGGGAAAAGTAAGTAATGTAAGACTATGGGGATTCAATGCGAACTCAATAACTCAAATGATCGATACTATAATACTTCAGTAATATTGTAGTGAACGAGAACACAGGTGGGGCAACCGGATTGTATCTAACGAAAATTACAGAGTTACTCAGTAAAATAGGGAAAACCATATCGTTAATTTGCAAAATATCAGTTCATCATATCGAACTGGACTGTTCCTGTTGCCAAACATCAATCCATTGTCACTATTCATGCGTTTCATACAAATTCCATTGTTTTCTAACTCTTCCTTTCTTGATCTTCCCCCATTTTCTGCTGCCAGACATTACGTTGACACTCACATCATATACTACTTATAAGTAGCTCGCACCACAATATAATCTGACAATATGATTGGGATATAAGAAAATATCTCATCAGATGATGATTGGCGAAACATCATATTTAAAACAATCCCTTCTATATAATATATATACTATAAGAATAAAATGTTACCTTGTGACAAGTAAAACTAGACACTATAGTTGACCAAGCGCAAAGCGGCAAAGATCAGCGTAAAAATCTAGAATGATCAATGACACTAATTGTGATCATTTCAATGCGTTTATCGATTCACAGATCTAATTGTAAAGAGAGTTGAAATTTATTTTGATCGTATATATAATATGTATATAATTTTGTATATGATTATTATTATTGTTTCAGATACTTCGTCAGATTGTGAAATTGTCGATGTTCTTTTGGAAGATGCCACAATCTCATCCTTACGTGATCATCATCCTGTGTCTGTGCTACGTGATGTCATCATGTTCTGTTCGTAAATCTCTCTGGTCAAGTTTTGTCATCATGCTTGAAAAAACACACTGAATCAATTGATAATTTGATGCTGTTCTGTTTTATTCCTCATGTGGAGAACATACACACACCCACACACAGCTGACTTTCTTTTTTATCATCATCATAATACTGAACGAACTGCATTTCAATGGATCACTTTTTTTTTTCTGATTGTATTCAGATCATCTTTTCACGTTTTGTTTTTCTCTCTCTTGTCGTCATTTTATTCTATTCTGCATCTAATAATCATTATATTCATTCATTGGTAGTAGTGGTACTAATAATATTTTAGTTTTTATGATTATACT